TTATTTCACTTTCTGTTCTGTGCAGGGTGTATTGAAGGTAAATCAATACATTGAGGTTCGTCCTGGGATCGTTGTTAAAGACGAGAGTGGCAACATCAAATGCACCCCAATCTATTCTAGAATAGTTTCATTGTATGCTGAACAAAATGAATTACAATATGCGGTGCCAGGAGGCCTAATAGGCGTTGGCACAACCATGGACCCCACTTTGACACGTGCTGATCGGTTGGTGGGACAGGTTCTTGGGGAGGTTGGGTCACTCCCTGATGTTTTTGTTGAATTAGAGGTAAGGGTCTGGGCCAAGAAAAAAAAAACTTCTTCCTTTTACTCATTCTTTAGCTTGCTCTTTTTCTTGGTCACTAGCTCAGGTGCGATGACAACAATTTTATCGTTTTACTTTTCCTTCATATGCTTTGGGATACAATAAGGGAAGCGCTCAGTATATCACTGTCAGGTGCTAGACAAACAACTGTTAGTGCTTAACATTTCCACCGTTAATGCAGGTGAATTTCTTCTTGCTGCGACGGCTTTTGGGTGTGAGGACAAAGGGGACAGAGAGGCAGGGAAAGGTCGCAAAGCTGGCAAAGGGAGAGATCCTTATGTTGAACATAGGATCTATGTCCACAGGGGCACGTGTTGTTGCTGTGAAGAATGATTTGGCTAAACTGCAACTCACATCTCCTGTCTGCACTAGCAAGGGGGAGAAAATTGCGCTCAGCCGGAGAGTTGAGAAACACTGGCGTCTTATTGGTTGGGGCCAGATTCAAGCTGGTACTACTCTTGAGGTCCCACCCTGCCCCATCTAAGTGAACAAGACTCTTACTTAAAAGGAACAAAAAAAACTAGTAGAACAATACAAAACTCGCGAATCGATGTGGGAAGGCAGAGAGCTGCTTGGAACAATTTTTGTCCGGTGGAGGAGAAAAAACGGTTTGCAGTTTCGGATACTCTTATTTTCGAGATTCTTTTTATGCATTTCTCTTTAACATTTGGTATTGCTTTGTACCTTGTGCTGATTCTTTAGGTGCATGTTGGATATTGAGTTGTACTCGAATCAGTGAGCTTCTGGCTGTTCCATAAATCAAGACAATTACATCCCTGGCAGTAGTTGGCCTTTGTGTTTCTTTTATGGTTTGCTGCAGTTGTATTACATTCCTTACCTATACCTGAGTTTTATTTCCCATGTCCAGAAACACACGAGTAGGATTGATCATCTTTTGTTTTTGTTTGTTCAACAAGGTGTTGTAGACCATACTATGCCATTTTAGGTCACCTTTTTGGCAAAGTAGTAGGTATTTGATTGTATCTGAGCTATTTATCGTGACTGTCAATGCTTATTTTGCCTGGATATCATACATAATTGATCTGTAGGTCAAGGGTCCAATTACGACAACATATACAATCGACAACGATCATTGGTATGGTACCACTTAATTTTCGAATAGCTTGAGGTTAAACTTGAGCATCTGAAAATCGGGTGAACGAAGATCATGTTCAATGATTATGATTATGTTGTATTAAGTCAATAATTAAGGTCAATAAATTCAATGATTATTNCTGAAAATCGGGTGAACGAAGATCATGTTCAATGATTATGATTATGTTGTATTAAGTCAATAATTAAGGTCAATAAATTCAATGATTATTCTGTATTAATTCAATGAATTATGCTACATTAAGTCGATAAATAAAGTTAATAAATTATATTCAAATAGTATTTTCCTATGTCGAATAAATGATATCAGTAGTGTTACAAATTTAAGATCACCCTAACTCAAAGGTGAATACCAATGTATTAACTACAAACACCAATGGGTGGTGATTCCTCTTGAACCTCAAACAAAAAAGAGATCTCGCTGTCAACTCGACTAAGAGTTCTGAATCAAAAAAAAAAAAAATTTTGAATTTGAGTTAGGAAGAAGAAATCGAGGGTTGAAAAAAACATACATTATTTTAGTATTTCTCTTTGGTGCATCCATTAGCTGTATATCTTTGTTGCGTCTCTTTTGCAATCACTGTGTGCAGTGAATAATCGGTGCAACTTGTACCTATGAGGTATATCTCTGGAGAAAGTAACATTTGAAATCGAATCAGAAAGCAACGTTTGGAATCGAATCAAAAAGTCTACAACTAAAAAATATAGAAACTAACAATGTTTGAAGGCAACAGTTGAAGAATATATTGTGAATTGATTTAAGAATAAATGTTTAAAATTTAAACGAATGAATAAATTAAATTAAATCTTTACATATTTGAAAAGAAAATAAATTATAAATGAGATATGAGAAAAAAAATAAGAGAGAGAAAAAATAGAGTAATGGTGAGAAAAAATAGAAAAAGAGATAATGAAAGAATAAGAATAAATGTTCAAAATTTAAATAAATTATAAAATTAAATCAAATTTTTACATATTTGAAAAGAATAAATTGTCAATCAATTATACATTATTTAAGGAAGAGTAATTAAGTAATATAAAAAATAGTAAACTAAATTGTACACCTAATAATAAAAAATTTATGTATAAGTAAATTCTTATCGGTGAACTTTCTGTCAACTAAGTCTTAAAAAATGTACCCAGATAATTTTTTCTCTATTTTAAAGGGTTTTTTTGTCGTGGGTACAATTTTTTAAACTTATTTGAGAAAAAACACATGGATAAATTATCCATTCTATTAAGTTTAATTTTAGTAAAATATATTGTGTTTAAGTATAAAATTCAAATGGAATCAAATTATTTTACCTAAATACTCTCCTTTAAATTATGTATTTTTTGATTGGCAGTTATATATTTAATCAAATATGTAAAGATTTGATTGAACTCTCTCATTATCTCTCCCCTATTTTCTCTCCATCTCTCCTATATTTTCTCTTTATATCTATCATTGATAATTTATTTTATTTTCAAATATGTAAATTTTGATTTATTTTTTCATATCGCTCTCATATTCTCTCTCTCTCTCTCTTCCCCCATTTTCTCTCTAACCAATTCTCTTTCTCTCTCTATTTATATTAACATTACAACAACACAATTACACTAATTAGTTATACCAATCAATTGCAATTATCTTATAATACATCAAACAATTATTCACGCGTTCTAATAAACCAAACAATTACACAAATTTATAACCAAATTTAGTATAATGGTAAAGTATTTTGTGTAATGATAAACCCAATTTGATATATATAATTGGTGTAACAATGATACTAAATAGTGTAACTCTTTGATTTATGTAAATAATTAAATGATAAATTGGGTTAGTGTTGCAATTTCATATAATTGTTTAATGTAACTGTTTGATTTATTAGAACATATCAATAACTATTTAGTGTATTATAGGATAATTATAACTAATTGGTGTAACTGATTAGTGTAATTATGTTATATAACGTTGATATAATGAGAGAGAAAAAGAAAATAAGAGAAGAGGGAGAGAGAGAGACATGAAAAAATTAAACCAAATCTTTACATATTTAAATTTTTTTTATCATTATAAGAGAAATAGAGAAAGAGAAAGAGATAGAGAGAAAATAGGGAAGAGAAAGTGAAAGAGTAATGGAGAGAGAGAATGAGAGAAAATAATAGAGTAATAAATACTTTTTTACTATTTTTTTTGAAAAAAATACATAGAGCCAAATAAGTTTTCTCAATGTAATTTAGTTCAAATAAATTTAATTTTTTGTATCGACTTTTAAATTACCCTATTTAAAAAAATTTTGGGCCTTCTTAAATTGTGGCCCAAAGCTCAGGCGTTACCAGCCAAGCTATTGGGCCGGCCCTGAGAACGAGCATATCCAACACAAAATCGACGGAGTAAGAAATATTCCTCAAACGACGTCGTCTTGATTCCCAGTGCCCTTTCGCGCCCTGTATCTGGAAACCGCTTTCTACGGCTTTCAATTGTAACGGAATCGCATCGCAGAACCTTCTTTAAACCCTTCCTCAGATCTCTAAACCCTAACCCTAACCCTAGATTGAATCCCGATCATGGCGACCAAGACATCGAACCTCGATTGTCGCATGTACGAAGCGAAGTTTCCAAAGGTGGACACGCCAGTGATGATACAGGTGAAGAGCATCAACCCCGATGTGTGCGCGTACGTTTCACTCCTCGAGTACAACAACATTGAGGGCATGCTGTCATTCACTGAGCTCTCTCGCCGGCGAATACGTAGCATCGCTAGTCTCGTCAAGATCGGCCGCATCGAGCCCGTCATGGTCCTACACGTCGACGAAGACAAAGGCTATGTCAATCTCAGCAAGAGAAGAGTCTCCGAAGAGGATGCTGGGGCTTGTGAGGAAAGGTATAACAAGAGCAAGAATGTTCATTCCATAATGCGACATGTTGCCGAGACTATAGATATCGATCTCGAGGTAATTTTTTTATCTGTTTACAGGGGCTATGTTTGTCGTTTAGGTGGTTTTGTTGGGATCCAGATGCCTAGAAAATCATTAGTTTTCTTCAATTTCGTTGGTGCTAAATTATCACACAATGTAGTGGGGAGCCTATTTTTTATTTTTTTTGGAAAAAAGGGGTGGGGTAAGAGAGAGCTACAGTGACCACCCAATACGCCTGGTGGGATCATGAAGCCCTGACTGCGCCCGAAAATAAATGTAGTTAGAGTAATATAGCGATTAACCACCGGGACTCAAGCCTCCAACTAGAAGTTTGGTCGTACAGTAGTGGACCACCCCACTCGGTGGTGGTGATCCAACTTGAATTCATGGTGGTGATATAGAAAACTGAAGGGATTTAGTTATAGGAATCCCAATCTGTGTTGTTGAGGGCTTATAGTTGAGGTGGCTTCCGTTGGATTTCAAAGGTACTACCAATGAGTTTCCGACTGGATATAGATGTTTCTAGTACTATCCTTGAACTGTTGCCGATTGCTGAATCAATTTTCCATAAACATCCTACTTACAGCTTTATTGGGAGTTCTATTTTTTCTGAATTTGATTTTTTTTTTCTCTATTTCTTCGTCTCCTTCATTTTCCTACATTGAGTAGAATTCAGCAGGTTATAGAAATTAACATATTCTTTCTATTATTTACTTAAAAGAAAGATGTTTTTTTTGTGTGGATATTTTAGTTTTCTTGTTGTGTGGCTTACAGAAAATTCCTATTATGTAGTGATTAATAGTCAATGTTTATATGAATTAGTAGTTCGAACCTTTTGGTATTTTATTCTCACTATGTGCTGTTTCTAAAAGAAAGTTATTTACTACAGGATCTCTATATTCATGTTGGATGGCCTTTATACCGAAAATACGGTCATGCTTTTGAGGTGAGATTGCGTAGAAGTTCTCGAAAGTATTAGTTTCTTCTGAACTAGCAATTGTATCTCTCTTTTTTTATTTTGGTGGTACAGGCATTCAAGTTAATTGTCAGTGATCCTGGTGCGATTCTTGATTCCCTCACCCGTGAAGTAAAAGAAATTGGTCCAGATGGACAGGAGGTAATCTCTGTTCTAATAAGGTCTTTGGGCCACCTTAGTCCCATTGTTGATACAGGATCTCATCATTTTGCAGGTGACTAAGGTGGTTCCTGCAATGTCAGAGGAAGTTAAAGATGGATTAGTTAAAAACATTAAAAGGCGGATGACCCCACAACCATTGAAGATTCGGGCCGATATTGAGATGAAATGTTTCCAGTTGGATGGTATTCTTCACATTAAGGTCTCATTTTCACCCTTCCTTTAAATCTCTATATTTCCTAAGATTAGTCTGTTGCTTCTACTTGTGGTAATTATATCGTAGAAGCTTCTTTTAGCTACTGTGCCTAGTTTTAAACTTCTTATTATCTCTG